GTACGTACGTACGTACGTACGTATGTACGTACGTTCGTATGTCAGCATTTTTTTCGTTTTCGATATCTCAAGAACGGATTGAGATATCGCCCTCAACCAAAATTTTTTCGAAAGATATTATCATAATGAAGATCTGAAAGAAATTTGAACGAAATCGGTCAAGCCGTTTTTTTTTTATAAAAAAAAAAACGAATTAATTACAAACAATTTAATTAAAATACGTTCTAATCTAATCACAACAATGAAGTTACGGAATCAATAATAACGAAATATCATTATTCAAGACAGGGAATAACATATTATAATAACATATTATAATAAAAATTTGTTTATAACAAAATGAATTGTTATAAACAATCGATAAACAATAAAAAATAGTATTTACCAATTGACTGATGCAAGTACTCTATCAATTCGGTTTTCTCAGACGAAATACTGTTTCTTATGGGTTTATAAAATGACGAACTCTCAAACATTGTTTGTTATTTATTATTGTGCCGCGTTTTTTTCAAACTTTAGAAACGAATGTACTTTACAATAACTGTATTATCTAATGGGAAGTTAGTCGTATTAGCACCGACCAAAGTGTGCTCAGACCAATTTTTTTTAATTAATCTTGTATCTTACATATTGCTAGCACCATTAGAACTGCTGGAAATCCAAATCCGAGGGCATAGCATGTGTCTTCTCCAAAACAGGAGATCGTTTTTCTTAAAAGTGGTGTCAGTATCATGCCAACAAAGCCTCCCAAATTAATTGTGAAATAAAATATTGAAGAAAAATGTTGCAGAAGAGATCTTTGATGGGGGAGATGAAATTGGTCTCCCCCAAACGCTGCCACGCAGGGTTTTATCCCTCCAGTCCCTATTGCTATCAAACAAAGTCCTACACTTGTGTATAATCTACAAAAATTAGAAGAAAATGTAAATCTAGGAAACGCAAGATTGATTTGATAAAGCAGTCGAAGCAAAAGAATATTAATTTTGATTAGATAATGTTTAAATAATAATAAGTAAATTGTAAAGGATGTTTATTGTCATTTAATTTAATTTCCAATTACTTTAGAAAGTACCAAAACATGTACAAGTGAGTGTTGGAAACGTACTATGTGCAGATGTACACGTACTTTATTTATTAGTATCAGGAAACGTTTAAACGAGAATGCGATAGTAAAAAGCGTTTAATGATAGCGATTTTATAACTGTTACAATGTCTCCTTCCATCATTTCGAACTTGACTAATACGAAAATCGACCTACAAAATGCTCGGGAAAGAAATTTAACGATACATTTCATTAACTTTTAGGGTAAATTAAAGTACCTAGTGTTTCTTTATTGTGAAACTGATTATTTGTGGTGCAAGGTAAAGCATATCAGCGATCTTATAATTTGTAATACTAAAATAGAGGGAAAATACCACAAATGGCGCGGTAAACGCCATCTGTAGTACGATGCTACATTTTAGGATTACGTACGCTCCAACAAGGTCCATTTAAATGTATGGATATCTACTTGCTGAAACGAATCCCGGCGTAGCTAACTTCAACGTGATAGGCACGTTACCATAATCGAATAAAAGAACTCGATGTGGTCTGTATTCTGTCGAAACTGCCAGACGCGGATCGCGATTTCGATCTTTTTGGATCTCATCAGCTCGTCGCAGGTAGCTCCGGCAGAACACAGACCAACTTTTACCTGCTGTCTTAACAGCGCGTTTTAGAAAATACCTCAAATGGCGCGGTAAACGCCATCTGTAGTACGATGTTACATTAGAAATTAAAATGGAGTATTTGTTTTTATTTCAAATTCAATTCCGGTGGTTTCAGGATCCCAGTATTCCATTTCTTTCTATAAAATAAATATAGTTTTATTCAGGTGTACTCACATTGGTGATATGTCCAACGGTGGAATAGCAGCGATGCACATCAGAATATTTCCACACAAGTAAATGATGGAAAAATAAAGTATAGTCCTGAAATGGGGAAAAAATATTCAATTTTCATACGAAGTCATTAACTCGGGTGTTTTATTTCAAATATATATTGAACGTTTCTCGCCGGGTCGTTAGTTTTTACATTGCCCTCTTTTTAACGACAGTATTGAATTTCCTGAAGGAGTCATTTTATCCTTGATTTTGGTTGCTTGTAATGTCTACGTCTCAAAGGAAAGCTTGTTAAATTTAATTCAAGATATGTCTATAAGGAAAAATGATTTAATACTGGTGTGCAAGGGAGGGAAAAGTAGGGTAAGAGCGAATATAAAGATGGGAAACGGTAAATTAGAAGAAATGACTGATTTTCAGTGTCTAGTAAGTCAGATAACTCAATAGAGATATAAGACAGAGAATAGCGGACGGCCGAGTCGCCTTCAACAAAAAGAAGTCTTCTTTGCGATAGGTTAATTTAGAAATTTGAAAAAGATTGTTAAAGGAGTATGTCTGGAGCGCGGATTTGTACGGGTGCGAAACATGGACAATTGGCGCAGTGGAAAAGAAAAGGTTGGAAAGTAGTGTTACAGGCGAATGAGGAGTTATTAAAAAGAGTAGGAGAACAGAGGGCGTTATGGATTTAAAAAGGAATAGGGAAATAAGGTTGGTAGCATATTTTCCCAGACATGAAGGAGTAGTTAGAAACATAAGAATAGGAGTTAAAAGGGGTAGATGTAGACCTACATTAGATTACTGTTCACAAATAGTTAAGGATGTGGGATGTTCTTGTTTTGGGGAAATCCGTAGATTAGCTTAGAGAAACGTGAAGATTAGCTCATCATCATCATCATCACAAGGTCATCAGTCCTAAGACTGGTTGAACACACACCTCCACTCCTTCATATCCTGAGCTAATCTTCGCATTTTCCTAAAATTCCCACAACTATTTGTGAACAGTAATCTAATCTCGGTCTATATCTACTCTTTTTAACTCCTGTTTCTGCCTCTAACATCTCTCTGACTAGACCTTCATGCCTGGGAAGGTGTCCTACCAACCTATCTCGCCTATTTCTTATTGACTTCCATAGAGTCCTCTGTTCTCCTATTCTTTCTAATACCTCTTCATTTCTAACTTTTTCTACCCACGTTATCTTCATCATCCGCCTATAACACCACATTTCGAACGCTTCTAACCTTTTCTTTTCATGGCCATGTTTCGCACCCGTACACGCCGTGCTTCAAACATACACCTTTAACAATCTTTTTTGAATTTCTAAATTAACCGTTCGCCAGCACAGAAGAGTAGTTCAGCATAGAAAAAAGTGGAGGTGCGTGTCCAACCAATTTTAGGACCTTATGCCGATGATGGATCCTTTTTTTAATTGAAGCCGACCCGACCCTGTGCTTTTCCTTGTGAACCTGTGACTTCATCCAGCATTTCGTTTTTTATGAAAACATACCGCTAAACATTCGATTAAGTAAAAATTCAGTAAAAACCACGACGTAACAACATAGAACGCCTTTTCATAACTCAATTTTGAAAATTAACATACATATTTGAAAATTTGTTTTGCACTGCTTTATATCATCCTTTTTATGCTTCTTTATAAAAGTTTCGCTTTCATATACAAAGACCGCCAACTGAAATTGAATTTTCGAACAGAAGTTAGTATCAGCTTAGAAGTACAGCTTTAATTAAACTTATATTCCCTTGCCATTAGAATAAATCGTGTTAGCGTTTTAACTGATTTACATACAAAGTGAACGTCTCATTATTCTTCGCAAAATTCCGTGCCATTTCCAGAGAACAACCTCCCTTATGAATTTCTATTGTGTATAAAATGTTTACACCCGTAGGCATTTAAGTCAAACTAAACCGTATAGTGACTAGTAGTAGTTATTTTTATTTTTCTTTAAACAGGGAATGAAAAAGTGTACACTGTCGCGAAAATAATCTTTGTAATCTACACATAATTCTTTTCCGTTGGATAAGCCCTCGAAAATCCGAGGATGGCTATAAAAGTCTGCTGGGGAGAATGACAGTCTCATTGAACTACCCTTGCATGCACAGCTGGTAATTCTCCACCAAGTAGAAATAAATCCTTTGGAATTTCACGATAATTCTGATAAATCCTGATAATCCACAGTAAATCCTGATAATCCCCAGTAAATCCTGACTTTTCCGGAACAAAACCCTTAATTCCTTAATGTAAAAAATAACCCCTGGAATTTTGGAATATCACAATAAATCCCCAACGATTTACTCCTCGGATTTAATCGAATATCTGGAAGGTTTTTAAGGATATCGGTTAAAGTCGATTAAATGTACTGTGTGGTCGACAAAAACGAATTGAATTTTCCACCAAGTAGAAAGAAATCCTTTGGAATTTCACGATAATTCTAATAAATCCTGGTAATCCCCAGTAAACCCTAACTTTTCCGGAAAAAACGTTAATTCCTTAATGTTAAAAGTTAACCCTTGGAATTTTAGGAATATCACAATAAAGATATAGGTCTATTTAAGTACTAATGTCGAATTGGGTTAATAAATATTAGAATTTTTAGAAATGAAACCTTTTTGTTAGTTTTTGTTTCTGCTAAGCGCTTTGGTCATATAGATTATGTTGGTACCATTGTAATATTTGAGGCTAACTTCAAGAAAGGTATCGTAAATTGTAGTTTACAAGTTTTATGTATGTAGAATTTTGGATTTTACTAAAGTTTTATTAAAATATACTAAAAATTATTGTGTGGTACCTGTATCGACCCAAATAGCTGTCTGCACAAACAGCTCCTGCAACGGGAACAATGTAACAGAGCATGATGAAGACATGGTAAACAACTGTGGCTGTGTCTTCCCTTAAAAATAATTCATCCCTTAAATAAAGAGATAGAATAGCTGAAAGTCAATATAAAGAAAATAAGATTTAATAATCTAATAAACCCAAAACAAAAAAAGCTCTTACTTCGAAGTCCGCAAAAAGAAAACCTTTCGCAAAATTCGGTGGCTATAATGCAGAATACAGAAATTGGATATGAATTTTCCTAAAAAAAAAAATATTAAAATGGGAAAAACATACGGATGCTGACTTTGTATGTTTACACTGGTCATTTTTTCTAAAACTGACGGTTATAATTTTCAAGATGGATGTAACAACTGCAAAAAGTGACATAACAGTTGTCAAATGTTATAAAATAGTGTGATATGTGCGCGCATTGCACAAAATGATGAAAATAAACTATATATAGTTGAGGGATCAAAACTGACAATGGCCGTAATAAATTATCTGCGAGAATGGACGTATCTTCCATCTTGTTTCCACTTGGAACTGTAGTCATTTCCTGCATTTTGAACACGTCCTTGTTTATATAGGAAATGTTCCGTTAGGAGTACAGACAAAATGAAAAGAGATAACCGAATAACAGTAAGCAGTATTGGGATCCGTCAAATCGGCATATACCATCTGGTGGCAAAATTTATAACTCGAATGAAGGAAAAATTACATAGGAATTGTGCACGAAAATTGTAAAATTGTTTATTAAAATATAAAACACGTTAAAAAAGTAAATTTTTTTTGATGATGGAGTCGACGAAGTTTTCTTCTAAAGTTAAATCAAAAGCTGCAATAGCACTTCAGACATAGATCTTCGCTCTTCACCTACATTAACTACTTTCCAATAAAAACTAACCGTTTTATATATGTAAAAAAATATATTCGGAAAATTAGAGAAAAAAGTAAACTAATAGAAGCTTAGATAGAAGCAGTAGGTATCAAAGAAGTGAATTCCGGAATAAAAATTTGTTCACGTCATTTTAATGCACATGATTATATTTCAGCAAGTATTTACCATCAGCCATAACCTTAATATTTAAAACTAGAATCATAATAAAATTATAAAGTGAGAAATTATTTATTCCTGTGTAATTGATTTAACACAATTCTAATGATACGATATAAGTATTTTGAGGTTAAGAACCTACATGCTGCAATACAACAAAGTTGCAATAATTTGTTTGCAACGTTCTCTTAAATCGGTTTTGCACGTGCAAGTCATTGATATGATATTGCTTAAATCGCCCAGAATCACCTCACCAGTTATATAACGTGAATCACTTTTTAAATCCGAAGTTTGTAAAAAGTAGGCAGTAAACTTGACGGAATTTGTTATTTCCGAATTTTATAATGTGATTGGAATTAAAAACACGCTCACCTTCAACGAAATTTCCTTTCCGAGGCTTTGTGTCAGCCCAATCACATATTGTGTCAATACTTATCATTTAATATTAATTTAAAAACTTGGAAATTGCACGGTACACTATAGGAACTACGATAAATTTTCCCTAATCGGCGCCATGTTTAAAGATCCTCCCATTTGACGGATCCCAATAGTATATCAAAAAGACAGCGTGTAGAATGAATATTTTTATTACAACTTTTATAAAAAATTACATAAATTTACACTTCACATTAATTTAACATTATGTATACGTAAAAAGCATGTACAGTCAACGTTCATTTACAAAATATTTTGCGTTTCAAAATGAAATAACAATGCGTTATTTTGTTGTGTTTTTTTACATATCACAATTCATTACAATGGCATTTGTCAATTTCTAAAAATGCCTGGAATGTATTTATTTGGGAGAGTCAAATAACAAATTATCACAATTATTTTATAGATATTTAACAAAGTATCCTAATTATTATAAAAATCTGCTGCAGAATATCAAATTTAACTCCAGTATTCCATTATGAAAAATATCTTTTTGGTGTTAATTAATTATTTTTATGTTAATCTTCACATCACGATAAGTCAGGTATTAAAAGGTTTTAAGGTTATGTTTAAAATTAAGAAATAAAAAACCTATGTACTTTGTCATGTTTAAAATAATGTTCACTTTCAATTCTGCAAAAAAGGTAAAACGCCATAAGCAATCATTGTAGCTGGGCGAAGTTTCAAAATGTGCTCAATCGAAGGCACTTGGTGTCGTACTAAGTGCACTAGAATATTTTGAAAATCGATGAGTGGAATCAATGAATTTTCTAAAAATATTTGTATGAAAATACATGTTTTGAAGCACCCTGGACCAGAATATAAAGCTTTCAATATACAAACTAAAATATATTACTTATAGCGACGACAGGCACGTAAATTCTTTTAACCAAAACTGATATGAAAGGAAGAAAAAGTAGGGAAAGAGCGAATATAAAGATAGGAGACGAAAAAATAGATGAAGTAGCTGATTTTTGGTATGTAATAGGAAGTCAGATAAATCAGGACGGAAGGAGTAGTAAAGGGTTCATTTAGAAATTCGAAAAAGGTTGTTAAAGGTGTATGTTTGGAGCATGGCGCTGTACGGGTGCGAAACATGGACAGTGGGCGCGGCGGAAAAGAAAAGGTTAGAAGCGTTCGAAATGTGGTGTTACATTCGAATGATGAGGATACCGTTGATAGAGAAGGTTAAAAATGAAGAAGTATTAGAAAGAATAGGAGAACAGATGACTCTATGGAAGTCAATAAAAAATAGGCGAGACAGGTTGGTAAGACACCTTCTCAGGCATGAAGGTCTAGTCAGAGACATATTATAGGCAGAACCGAAAGTTAGGAGGGGTAGAGGTAGGCCTAGATTTGATTACTGTTTGCAAATAGTTAAGAATGTGGGTTGTTCTAGTTTTAGGGAAATGCGAAGATTAGCTCAAGATAGGAAAGAGTAGGAGTGCCTGGCCAACCAGTCTTAGGACTGCCGATCTTAGGATGATGATTTTCAAATTATTCTAGCACACCTAGAATATCATCATGGGTCATCGATTGACTGACTGGGAAATTAAATAACATAAAATATGCTTAATTAACTAGTTTAACGCATTATTATTTCCGTGTTGTAATTGCAAAGTGTGGCCAGCCTTCTATCATTTTCTTTGTATGTATGTATGTATGTATGTATGTATGTATATATAAGTATGTATCTATTACATAAACGGACAAATAACATCGATTTTGTATCACTACATTCATTGTTAATAATACTTGTATGTTTTGTATATAATATTAGAGTAGGTAGGTATTTAATATGTATATATTTCCATTTAGAATACCGCTTACTCGTTCCTTCCGTTATCAGGAAGTCACAAAGTTAAAATGTGAACACTTATAGCCAGTATTAAGATCGCACATAAAAAGCAGGATTACAAAGTGCCAGTCTCTTCTGCACCATAATGGTAGATAACATCTTAAACTGGCATTACTTCTGGACTTTAAAAAATAGAGCAAAAATTAGCCGAAATACTCAGAATGCAACTTTTGCAACTGTTTCAGTAACAAAAATAGTATTTTATGTAAGTCATCAGACCGGGTTCGTTCAGATCAGACCTGATTATCCCTAGTTAATATTTCAGGTGATTCATTTAGATCGGGTTAGTCCAGATTAGACCTGGTTACCCCTAGATAATATTTTATGTAGTTTATATAAGTACACTAGGTTAGTCCAGGTCAGACCTGATTACCCCTGGTTAATATTTTATGTGATTCATTTAAGCCAAGTCAATCCAGATCGGACCTGATTACCCCGGTTAATATTTTATGTAATTAGACCGGGTTAGTCCAGAGGTCAGACATAATAACCTCTGGTTAGTATTTCATGTGATTCATTTAAACCAAGTTAGTCCAGATCAGACCTGATTACCTTCGGCTAGTATTTCATGTGATTCATTTAGACAAAGTTAGTCCAGGTCAGACCTGGTCATCCCTAGTTAACATTTTATGTAATTAGACCGGGTTAGTTCAGACGTCAGACATAATACCTTCTGGTTAGTATTTCATGTGATTCATTTAGACCATTTTAGTCCAGATCATAACTGGTTACTCCTGGTTAATATTTTATGTAGTTCATATATACCGGGTTAGTCCAGGTCAGACCTGATTAACCCTGGTTAATATTTCTTGTGATTCATTAAAACCAAATTAGTCTAGATCAGACCTGGTCACCCCTGGTTAGCATTTTATGTAATTAGACCGGGTTAGTCCAGAGATCAGACATAATAACCTCTGGTTGGTATTTCATGTGATTCATTTAGACCAATTTAGTCCAGATCATAACTGGTTACTCCTGGTTAATATTTTATGTAGTTCATATACATCGGGTTAGTCCAGGTCAGACCTGATGACCTCTGGTTAATACTTCATGTGATTCATTTAAACTAAGTTAGTCCTGATCAGACCTGATTACCTTCGGCTAGTATTTCATGTGATTCATTTAGATCAAGTTAGTCCAGACCAGACCTGGTTACCCCTGGTTAATATTCCATGTGATTCATCCGCAAATATCGAAAATATCTGTGGTTAAATCGTCTTTGTCCTAAGCCGATTGGAAAATGATAACTACTTACCAATACGTAGAAATTTTCTGACATTGTGTAAGAATTGTTTGTTGCAAAAGTTTCATCCTTTAGATAATATATCAGTCTCTCTCTATAGCGACTATTATTAGATATTAGTAACATTATTATTAACATGTATATTGTTTGTTGGTTTATTTTTACATCTACTTAACACCAAGTTCGTTAAAAACACTTTAGTTTAATGTACACAATATAGGGATGTTTGCTTGTTTGTGTGTACGTTTATAGTTTGTTATACACCGATTTGTGACCTACAGTAATGTAATATATTATAGTAAATGCATTCGTATCGAAAACAATATGAATTTGTTTCGCCTAAAGGATGGAAATGAGTGTGGACAGTGAGTACACGAATGTGATGAATCAAAAAAAAGTTTTAACCTGATCGTCACTCATTCAGATTTTAATCCTATTGTACATCGCTTATAATTTATTGTAGTTGAATAGACACTTACTGTCCATTTCAACTTGTAAGAATTGTGACCTTGAAGAAATCTGCGCGAAGATAGAAAGAATACACACTAGGTGTGAGCAAGACAGAAATAGCTCGAACAAGGTTGAACGAGCAGAGCTCTCGATGGGCGGTCTTAGGAGATCGGCTAGAACTGTACAGTACTAGACGAAAATGTTTAGCAATTTCTTAAAACAAAAATGTATATGAATTAACAATAGAAAACAAAGCAAAAGTTTTATAGGTGTGTAGAGCGTTAAGTTAATTCACTTGTTATTATTTTTGACTAAATATGCTTCTAAATAAAGCATATTCTTAAATTTTAACGAAGCAATTTAAATAATTTTGCAAATGGTACTGTACACTTTTGACTAGCACTCGCTCGATGATCAGTGAAGAAATGAGCTCCGCAGACAAATACGATTGAATTTGTAATTATGCTACGGCGCATCCTAATAAAGGGAAAGGGCATATCTCCAACTTCTTGAAACGAACAGTACATATATTCGAATAAAATAACGAGTGAAGATCAGGTTAGAGTGATGAAAGATGTTTTAAAACAGTGAATCTTTTGTTTCAATAACACGATGGTCCCCTATCACACATTTGAGAGCTTATATTTTTGTTAGAGGAAGATCACAGTCATAAAGAAGGCAACGATATCTTTATATATATTTACAGATCTTTTATTTTTTTGTTTTGTCTTTTTTTTTTTTTCGTTTGTGAGTGCAGAATTTTCTAAAGTTTATCGTCGGCAACTGGCAATCATTCTTTCAGCGACGTTCTTCCATCTGTAAATGTTTTGTTGCCGATAAAATTTTTGACAGAATTACTTATAAATATTGTCTTTTTTGTTTAGGGTAAAATACGAGAGGCGTTCCGAAAATAATGCAATAGTACCTATCTTCCAATTACCTACAGAAATTTCTCGTAGGTGGCGCATATTTATCTGTTTTAAGAGAATTAATTATTCTGAAAGAAGCGCACGTACGAGAAATTTTTGTCAATTTAAGGTATTGTGTTACTTTTAGTACAGCACTCGCATATTAAATTTAATAGGCACATGCATATATAAAAAGAATAAAACACGGTACAAAATTTAGTTTTTGATTTTGAAAAATATAACTTTAATAAACACACAATTCGAAAAAATTTGTATATGCAGTGAATAATTGGAAATATGTATAAGTTTTAATAACCCTGGAACTTAATATGAATTTAAATTGTTTATAATTTTCTTCTGTGGATAATCGAGTATTAAACAGGTTGTCTTTTGCCCTTCGCTTGAATTATTACACGTATAGCATGCTTAAAATTATTTATAATAGGCTAATTTTAACTAAACTAATGAGAAATAAATTCTGCTAAAAAACTACTTATAAGTAAATGGTATATTCTAATCTATTAGAAAGTACTAGACTAAAATAATAGCAAACAATATTTCTGTAAATGATTACTACACGTCCACGGATTTGAATTTTATAAAAACAATTTATATTTTTGTGCTATTAGAAAAACCTAATACCAGTTTTAGGTTCTTCAGTCGATTTTCTACATATTATTTTTATGAAAAAAATTGTTAATTCGGCTTAAAAAACAAAATCTTTTTCTTTTTTGCGCTTTACTGTCCTTAAGCACGGCGTGTAGGCAACGTTTTTAATGAAAATAATTTTATTGAGTGTATGAATGTAAATATACAATCGATGAAAAAGTTTTTATTATTGGTGTGTTCGATTAAATGGCTTTTGATATTTGAATTAAAAGTTAAACGTTAGGATGATCCACCACTGAATGTTTTTGATGGTTTTTCAACTTATAAATATGTTGGTATTCCGTAAAATTTGATGCTAGGTATTTTGAAAAACTTTTAAGTTGAATTAGTAATTTCAGTCTCAAAAATGTGTAAATGCATTGCTTTCTTATCAGAGGGAATTTTATTACTTACGAATAATAGTTGCAACCATATAAGTCACAAGTGCATATATTTGTGTATTTTGTGCCTTGTAAGTAACCGGTTTTCGTTCAATTTCCTTAAACCTAGAAACCGTTTTAAAAGTTTTGTTTCCTACATTTTAAGAAAACAAAAACAAAGGAACTAAAGATTCTATAATAATAAAAACTCGTTGTAGCGATGAAAATTTATAGTTACTGTGTGATGTTTTCCTTCCTTATCTTTATTGGTAAGGAGCGGACGTCATTCGCACATAACCTCGTTCTCAGGGGCGTACTTAGGGCCTTAATAATAATGTAGATAATCATACATTGTGATAGATCTCGGCTACATGCAAAGGGGTCACATCAGTTTCTAAAGGACACCACGCGGTTGCCTTCAGATTCTCTCCCCAATAAAATTTGATCGTCGGCCTAAGTACGGCCCTTATATGTACAAACAATATTTACTTCTGCTCCTTAATTAACAGTAAATTGATATAGATTGGGATTAATAAATAATTGTTATTTCCTCTAGGCGAGGTATATGTCGTTGAAGTTTAATTTTGAAATTAATTATAATTATTTATGTCAAACGTTAAACGATACCAAATCTATGGAATACGATTAATAATTAATTAATTGAATGATTTCAAGTTCTTGGACGTCGGCATTCAATCTTTGGATCTCTTCTTTGGTGTTCCATTGTTTACATTCAATTAATTATTTTTATCAGTTGCTTGTTATCAAAGAGGGTATGGTTTGGGTCGATTCAGTATCAGCTGATTTGAGATATGATTAAAAACCGTTCCGTTATTTGACTTGGAAATCTGTTTGTGTATTCTGTGTTTACTTTTGATTTATGCAAAGAAAATACTTCTCGGTATTATTCTTGTTATTCTGTAGAATTCTATAATTTACTTCAATGCAATAGTTTTAATCAATTTTTTGGTAAGGTAAGGACGTTCTGAATAAATTAAAATGACATTCGATTTTCGTTTTTAATTAAATCCGAATTTCTTTAATCGCCAACCCCTTATCATCTCATCATAACTCGTATATATCTCTACCGTTGGTGCGTCCGCAGCATCTTTTGGCTTGACCTTCGCGACACCTTTGAGGACTACAGTACATGTTGTAGCCGGGTATGATGTGAACCCGGACGTCTCCCGAAGGCCGAATGCCTTCAGGACGTTGTCTCCGAGAGAACGAGACCGTGGTTTTACAGCAGCAATAGTGAAACAAATTAACGTATGCACTTCTAAAATGTCTATTGGTGATGCAATAGAAAATACTATTGACGCATGATTTGCTAATGGCTAACCATGCGAGCGAGTAAAACAGTTTGTTTTTGACAGATTGGACGGTACCGACACCTAAAACTACACCGAAAGGCAGCCAGAACACGACGAACAGCAGGAAACTGTACATGTTCGATCTCATCAGTGCCAGGTCCCAGCTGAACGTGATATTCGGCTTGAAACTAGGTCTAGATTTAACTACTCGTACACGAAAGTTGGTCCGTACGTAGCAGGAAAAGGTTAAAACAAGCGGCAAGAATACGAATACTATGGCTACAGTTGCTTGATAAGGAATCAGACCTGACTTCTTCCTGGTGCAATAGTCGAAAGATAAATCGGCGAATTGTAGTCCTGACGTTATTGCACACACGGCCCAGAACAACAGGAGGATCATCGTTATGCTGCGTGGAGTCAATTTCTGGTAGCATCCGTCTGAATTGCATAATCGGAAGTAGTTCTCGATCGCAACGGATGTCAGAGATAGCATCGTCACCAGGAAACAGAGAACCGAGATGAACCACTGGAATCGGCAGACTATAACGTTATCTCCCAGACCTGCCAAGATTACCACAGCTGACGCTGGAACCACCAAACCCGATACCAATAAGTCTGCCAATGCGATGTTAACTAAAAATGTGTTTCCTGCAACAAAAAAAAAGAAGAAAACATTAAAAATGATGCCTAGGGTTCAAAGACTAATAGTAAAAGCGACCTAACTGAACATTCAATATCATAAGGTCGTCAGTTCTAAAACTGGAACATCCCACATCCTTAACTATTTGGGAACATTAATCTAATCTAGGTCTGCCTCTACTTCTCTTCTCTGACTAGACTTTGATGCCTGAGAAGGTATCTCGCCTATTTCTTATTGACTTCCATAGAGTCCTCTGTTCTCCTATTCTCTCTAATACCACGAAGGTTTCTAACCTTTTCTTTTCCGCCGCGCTCACCGTCCATGTGTCGCACCCGTACAGTGCCGCGCTCCAAACATACATCTTTAACAATTTTTTTCAAATTTCTGCACTGATTATTGCCGAAACACAGCCGAAATTCAGATTAAACCGAACGAGTCGTTCGTTGCCAGGGTTTTAGTAGGCGAACAATTTTGTTATTGTTTATAATTTGACAACGATTACAATCAATACGTAGTGAAAGTTTTGCGATAAAATGAAATCTTCGCAAAAGAAGAAACGGGAAGACGCTGAGGACGACGACATCAAAGAAGAATTGGTTCACACATTTTCGTCCGTTGATCTCATAGTAATAAGATATCAGTCTTTGTTTGTTGGTATTTTGCTGTTTGCGACATGCTTTTCGTTTTACGTAACCACAGTGAACTTCGTCTACGCCATCACTGTGGATGAGCCTATGGTGCCAAGAGTATTTGGCGAAAGCATGAGTAAGTCGAACAATCTAACAGTCACTAACGATATCTATAAATTATGTAACCTTCCTCTTCCCTCACGTACCTAACAGGACCGTAACGCATGATCTGAGTCCTCTTCATTTCGATAGGGTGACAAAATTGTGTGTTTCTTGTACAGCTTTTAAAAGAACTCTTGTGCCTGTTATTAATATTTAATGTTCTGACCCAGTATATTCCACGCTTTATATTTAAGGGAACTATATGCACAGAAAAAGGAATGATAAATTCTGTAAAGGACTCTGCTAGATTCTAGCGGAAAATGGCCCTGCGCCAAACTGCTCGAAACTTTAGATTCTGCTAGTTCTCGAAGTGTAAATCATGTCTCAAGTCGTAAAAACCTATTTTTTTTGAGATATTTCACTTCATAGTGTCACATATATGTAGATAACACAACATACATAGCGGCAAAGAAGATCAGGTTTCTAGATGGCATATACTGGATCATTCTAGAACATGGCCAGCCTCTGTAACTAGTTTTCCTGAGATCGAGAGTAGTTACGAGCGATACAAACCGAAGAAGTCACAGTGTTCATGTGGTGGTGAATTTATAACTAATTGATAATTCAATACGTATAATAGGAGTAATTGTACCTTCGAAATCCATACGGAAGAATTCAACTTTAAGAAGAAACCATATCTCAAAAAAATGAGTTTTTACGACTTACACGTCGAGAATTTGACAGAGGGCCATTTTCCGTAAGGATCCAGCGAGATCCTTTACAACACTAGTGAACTAATGTATCACCAATGACGTTCGGTCTCTGTACTCTGAAGCTTGCTATATGGTGGAACCAAATTTAAACATGTCATTGTAAAATTCGACTCATACCTTTCCTCCATGTTATCTCCGAAAATTGAAATATAACTCATTCAAAACCTCTCATCATACGTAAGCTCCTCATAACCTTTTTACTGATAATATATAAAGCGCGGCATAAACTGGATTTGAGCTACATTTAATTATGTTATAATTATATTATACGTTAATGACACCCGACCTTTTTGTACCTCCGCCCTACCTCACCCCCATTGTTCACTTTTCATCATCATGAGGTCGCCAGTCCTAGAACTGGTTGGACACGCACCTCCACTCTTTTCTACCCTGAGCTAATCTTCGCATTTCCATTTGCGAGCAGCAATCTAATCTTAGTCTACCTCTACTCCTTTTGACTCCTGTTTCTGCCTCTACTATGTCTCTGACTAGACCTTCATGCCTGAGAAGGTGTCCTACCAACCTATCTCGCCTATTTCTTATTGACTTCCATAGAGGCGATTGTTCTCCTTTCTAATATCTCTTCATTTCTAACCTTCTCTATCTACGGTATCCTCATCATTCGCCTGTAACACCACATTTCGAACGCTTCTAACCTTTTCTTTTCCGCAGCGCTCACTGTCCATGTTTCGCACCCGTACAGCGTCGCACTCCAAACATACACCTTTAACAACCTTTTTTCGAATTTTAAATTAACCGTTTGCGAGCACAGAAGTGACTTCTTGTTATTAAAGGCGACTCGACTCTGCGCTATCGTCTGCCACTCCTGACTTCCTAGATAGCTAAAATCAGCCACTTCTGTACTTTTACTGTTTTCTTCTATTACAGTGTACGTATATGTTTTCGACCTTATTCACCTGACTGACATTTTTCTGGTCATGATTTTCTACAAGACAAAACCGCTGGAACTGCATCGCGTGTACGATGTGACACCGCCGTGGATGACTCTGGTGCGATTTTTGAGTCTGCTTCCGTTTGACGGGGTCTATTGGATATTTACCAAAGCAAACATGCACGTTCTCCACGCGTTAAGGCTGCGATACGTGATTCGAATGTTGACATACAACGAATATTTCAGCAGAATAAAACTGAGTAACAACAGTTTGTATAAATTACAAGCAATTTTGCAATATGCAATGGTGGCCATGATAGCAACGACAGCCACTTCGTGCTTCCTTTATTATTACTATTGCAAAAACAACAAGTACCACTATGTGTGCCAGTATGGCGATACGCACTCGTTAAGATTGTCGTTTGAACATGTCACAACTACGGTAATTCAACGTGGGTTTCAACACAGGGCGTTCATGATGGATCTGACCGACGTCGTCGTCTACATGGTCAGTTATTTGTCGTTTCAGATATTGTTCGGGTACACCATCGGGGCCGTGACCGTTGGGACGTATCTGACTAAGTCGAGGAAATACTTTTTCGGCGTGCTCGTCAACAGGATAATGTCCGTGGTGAACGAGTCTCGTAGCGAAGACACGTTAACGAGGAGGACTATAAAGAGTACGGTGGCGACCTATTGGAAAATGCGCGGTCACGCCGAACTATCCGATCGGATGAAAGAGAAACTACCTCAGGGTATTATCAACGATCTTTACTTGGACGTATCGTGGTACGCCCTCAGACACTCGCACCTTTTCAGGGATCTGGATATCGATTTCTTGAGGTTCGTAGCTAGTTTGATGCAGCATTGGTATTTTGCGCCGGGAGAGATCGTGTATCGACGTGGCGTTTGCAAACGACGAATGATCTACGTAGTGTCCGGTGTGGTTCAAATATTATCCGAAGAGGACGGAGAAACTCCGATAATTTCGTTTTGTGGAGGCACCGTACTAGGAGAGTCTTGTTTGTTACAAGATTATCCGGCTTCTTGTACAGTCATCTGTCTTACGTACTGTATCGTCCACATACTCGAGTGTAAACAGTTCGTAAAATGTATCCTGAAATATCCCAAGTATTACAGAAGTTTCCACGGTAGCATTCAGCAGCGTTATAAGGAAGCCAAGATGTATAAGAAAATTGCGAATTACCAGACGAAAGGATTGGACCATCAGTTGTCGTTTATAGCATTGAAATACGTGAAGACGGCCGTGCAACGTTTGAGCGAGGGCAAGGAGATGCAGGACGAGGCAGTTGAAGAGATGCACGATCACGAAATCAGAAAAACGAACGAGATACTGAGATCGCTCGTCTTCTGTCCGAAATACTTGGATCTCTTGGTGCTTGCTGACGAAATGGATTTGGCCATTGACACAACGTTCATAAGGCAATCGTTTCCACACGTACTGAAACCGGATTCGTTTTTAAATTATTTATGGCAGAGATGGATCGCCATAGTGGTTCTTTGTTTAATGATAACGTATCCTTATTACGTCTCATTCGCTCCGGGATCCTTGTACTACTTCTACATACTTTATCTGGTCACTTTTGTGTGGTTTTTAGATATTTATATAAAACTGAATACCGCGACCATTTCTTCGAACGTTTGGGTGACGAAAATCGGCGACATCGTCTGGTTGACCGTCTTCACGTTCCAATTTTGGATGGACATTTTCGCCGTTATCCCGTTCGAATTGATCGTGCATTTTCACTTTCACATCAACAATCAGACCTATCTGCTCTTTATGATGAACAGGCTCGCGAAGTTCAGACACGTGAACAATTTGTTCGATTATCGATACAAAGAATTGGTGCCACTTAAGGTTTTAGTGTACACGGTGCTTTTGCTGTTCTATTGCTCTTCGCTGTTTTATTTATGCGTGTGTTTTAATCAGGTCTGTCCTGAGGGAGCCCCTTTTACCGACTTGTTCATCACATTCCAGGGAAACGAGCTGTTCGCCGCCATTTTCTACGGCCATCAGATAACCACTGGGTTTTCGCTGACAACGCTGAGCACCCAAACGGAAAGCAACATTTACTATCTCATATATATATTCACGCTTCTCTCGATTGTCGTTTATTTATATTCGATATCCCAGTTGATTTGTTATTATTTCTTCTCCATGATCAACTTTATGATTTTAAGCAATCGCATAGAAATGATCTGCATGGCTTTGAAGAAGTACAACCTGAGTAAGAATTTTACCAACAGGGCGATATCGTTTTATCGTAACAACTGGTCGTTCAATAAGGCGCGATTTTTACTTTTGAAAATACGCGTGATTCCCGAACTACCTTTTGACCTTTACAAAAATGCCAAGTTCAACCAGCAATACAAATTTGCCATGATGTTCCCCCTACTTAGAGACTTGCCGAAGAAATTCTTGTCCGAGTTCTGCGTGTTCATGTCCACGAGCATCTTCCATCCCAACGAAGTGATCATTTACAAAGGGGAAACTGCCAAGGAGTCTTATCTGATAATGAACGGCTATTGCGAAACAACTGACGGGGATGTTAAGAAGTCTTTGAAACCTAAAGATAGTTTTGCCGTAATCGATTGCTGTTTTGGCCTTCCGTCTCCTAACACCGTGTACTCGGTGAGCCACGTCGTCTGCTTAACGTTCAAACACGACGATTTTCAGCGGGTTCTCAGTCAATTCCCGAACCTGGTGGGACGGATGAACAATTTAAAAAAGCACATTGTTAACGAACGGTTCATGTACAAAGAACATAACGAACGTTTCGAGGTCACTTTCACTTCTGGTGAGGAAAAAAGACCAAAATCTGTTTACGTCTTCAAATACAAAGCGAACGAAGGATCGCGCGATTGGTTAGAGTACCATTTACCGTTTCGGAAACGGAAACGGTTCTACTACATCCAATTCTTCCTCATGAGATGCACGTTCGGCTGTAGTGGACGGTTAGTTTACGTTTGGGAAATCATTCGAGTTTCTTTGGCTTTAATAACGGCGTTCGTGGCGATTTTGCCGGGTGTCGGGTACTGCAAGCACTGTCGATACTGGTACGTGCTTCTCGTTTCGGACCTGAGCGCGTGCATGGACATTTATTTCCGTCATCACGTCACCTATTACAACAAACATAACGTACACGTGACGCATCCGTTGAAAACCGCAATACATTACTGGTCGCACGGGCTTTTCGTGGACGTTTTGGGCGTCCTCCCTATAAACCTTCTGATTCTTTGGCTGTTCCCGACTTCGACCGAGCTCGTCTTCATGGCGCTGACGAGATTGAACAGGCTGTTGCAATTGTACAGGTTATTTCCGTTTTTGTTTTCCCGCGATTTGAGTGGTAAGACGCCCAAGTGGGTTGCGCTGAAGTTCGTACCTCTTATTATTTTGACCGTTTATACGCTGTCTCTGTTGGTATTGGAAATGTCTTGTAATATAGGAGACTATGAAGAAACCGAGGTCACCGTCGCAGGCCTGTTTTGCTACCAGAACTCTTGGATATACAAGTCGAAATTCATGAAACCTTTCAATGCCGGCAGAACGTTGATTATTATTATGTTCCAAACAACGGCATCTCTCACGGGAATCGCCATGAGCGGATACCAATGCGAATCCGTTCCGGATTGTAATTTTATATGGTTGCAATGCACCTTGGGTCACATTATACGCCTCTTTTTCATTTCGCATTTCGCCGCCGTCCATTTGAATGCCAATTTCCGAGAGGCATTTTACCAGAGGCAAATGAGAGATCTGGTCAGCTTTTTGAACTTCCACAAGATCGGGGCCGCCGTTAAGAACGAGGTGGTGCACCATTTCGAACTGGTTTGGATGAAAAACAAAGGGCAAGATTTGCAAAATGTTACCAAAGATTTACATTACGCTCTACAGGGCGATATACTGTTTGAAGCCTACGCTCCGATACTTAAAAAGTCGGAAATATTTGCGAACGCCGACACGTCGTTCGTTCACAGTTTGCTTATGCAAACTATGCATCAAAATTATCTAAACAGAGGCATAATTTCACGAGTTAATGACATCCAGGAGAATATTTATATAACACTACAGGATAACGTGGAAGTATTGGGACCCGATCGCAATCGTCTCCTGCTGCTTCCGCCAGGAAGCATGTTCGGAAATTTAGACAAAACGCCAAGGAGCCGTATGACATTGACAATGGTCGCGCGTGGCCATACTGCTGTTTTGGCAATAAAAACCCTGGATTTTTATCAGACCATGTCATCGTTCAAAAGGTTCCAAACGAATTTCTTGCAGAGGACTGCGATCCATGTGGACTATTTGCCAGGAGGACCTATCCAGAAATACGTAGAAAAGGAGCGATTAAATCAGGAAGAAATTGGTCGAAGATCCAGATTGTACTGTTTACTGTTTAATGTTAAAAAACCCGGAAATTTTATTTACATTTGGGAAATATTACTGGCATTAACAATAGCCATCTTTTCAATCCCCATGGAATCGTTTCATCTTTGCGTGAAATATCCCGGTGTTGTTATAACAACGTTGTTATACCTGTTGGACCTACTGTACGTTCTGCAAATATACCTGAAGTTTAAAACTTGTTACGAGGATGAATACGGCATTCTTATAAAAGACAAGAAGAAAATTGTCAACAGGTACTTGAAGAATCCGCTCGGTTTTACTTTAGACTTGGCGATCATTTTTCCGTTTGAAATAATCAGTATCTTCTTTATTAATAAGAACTACTTCTGGACGATTTGGAGTTTTTCAAGGACTAACAAACTGATAAAGGTACTTGCCTAAAATTTTTTACAAAAACAGAGTAGTGCTGGATTGTCAAGGTTAGAAGGAAAATTACTTCCAATGATTCACTGAAACCAGAGATAAATCTAACAAAAACAAAATAGTTTTAGGACGTTGTCAGGTGAATTTATTTCTAGTTTTTTTTACCGAAATTTCTTTTTAATTGCCCGAAGATTCTTTTGGCGAAAAAATGAAGACCTTGTTTTTGTTTTCGAGCACCACAACGCCGGGATTCGTTTCAGCAAGTAGATATCCACACAAGTGGACCTTGTTAGAGCATACGTAATCCTAAAATGTAGCATCGTACTACAGATGGCGTTTACTGCGCCATTTGTGGTATTTTCTAAAACGCACTGTTAAGACAGCAGGTAAAAGTTGGTCTGTGTTCTGTCGTATCTGTCTGCAACGCGCTGATGAGATCCAAAAAGGTCGAAATCGCTATCCGCGTCTGGCAGTTTCGACAGAATACAAACCACTTCCAATTATTTTATTCGATTATGGTAACGTGCCTATCACGTTGAGGTTAGCTACGCCGGGATTCGTTTCAGCAAGTAGGTACCCACACATGTGGACCTTGTTGGAGCATACGTAATCCTAAAACGTAGCATCGTACTACAGATGGCGTTTACCGCGCCATTTGTGGTATTTTCTAGGATCAATTCAGCACTACGTGTTCCATATGAAATTTTTAACTAAACTTGTTTTTTTTTCTGATAGATTTATTTTGTGGTGGACCTGTTAAGAAAGAAAAGAAAGCAGTTGAGTGCCAGCATATTTTCTATTAACTTGATCTACAGTTTGTTTTGCTTAGAAATGTTTATTATGATGGTGTCAGTTTTGCTTGCAAACGTCTCATGTTTTTATCCTGACTACAATTTCGTAGTATTTGACGATCAAAGTCAGAGTACGCTGTTCAAATGTAACTGGCATAACGAACCGTTTTCTCTCAAATTACTTGCCTTTTTTAATTTTAATCGAATCGTCATTGGTTGCATAACTTCGACGGGATTGCCAAATGTTTTCCCCGATCACTCGATATTGTTAATTCTAATGTTCTTTTTAATGATATTCTGTAAAATGATCTTTTTATTCTTCTCATCGGCAACATTGTCTAATTTATTTGCGAAAAACATGAGTCTTTTAATGTTCGCTAACGACGCCGACGAACTGATGACGTATATGAAAAGAGAACGAGCCTCTATAGGTCTAGTGCAACAGATTTGGAAGTAAGTGCATTAAAAAGCAACTCTATTTGGCAAACTGGTAAAGGCTTTCACGGCCAGTGGGTGAACTGATACTGTCCCGATTCGGGTCTTTACGCCAGTGTTGCAACAGAGCTCTGCCTCGGCTTCCGCAATTACGAAGTTCCGCATACATTTTCACATCCGCTTCTGCTCTGGTTCCGCACTTTTATAACCGAAACTTGTCAGTTAACAAAATCTTATTTATCATCTTTTTGAAAATCCATATATTGGAACAGTAAAACAAGTCGTAAAAATTTATTACATTTATCTGTTGGCTGAAGTTGTCCGTTTTCAAAACACAATTTAAATGGAATTGCCGTTGCAAAGCTTCATATTGTTGCAGGTACCTGCGCTAGCTTTCATCGATCCGGTAAAATTTTATTGATGTTATTATTGTCCTTTTAATATACAGTGTAAACTCTTTATAACGTCACTCGATTTAACGACAAACTCCTTAAAACGTCGAAATTGCTTGACTTTGGTTGGCTGTTGTTTTCTATACAATATTACACTCTGTATAGCGTCACGCTCACTCTATTTAACGACAACAATGCGGCATTATAAATCATTAAGCAATACTTTCTAAGTTGCCGAAATAGATAAGAACTGCAGCTGTGTACGTTGTTGAAGAAGACGATCCTGTCCCTCCACCAAGCATCAAACAAGCACTTGATGCAGCGAAACTATTAAAAAAATACTTTTTATATAATCAAATTGATCCAGCAGTATCTCAAGATATGAGTAAGAT